GCAACATCAAGAAAAAAGAAGGAAAAAAGGAAGAAACAACCACATGATATCACCTTTCCAAAGTCTCATGAAATTTCTGTTTAAGGAGTTTATTTTATGACACTTTATTTTTATTTTACATATATATATATATATATATATATATATATATATATATATATTAACAGAGAGGAATAGAGAGTTAGAAACATCGATGAGAGAGAATCATCGATCAGCTGCCTCTTGCACACCCACTACTGGGGATGTGCCCACAACCAAGGTACATGCCCTTGACTGTAATCAAACCTGGGACCTTTTAGTTTGCAGGCCTATGCTCTATCCACTGATAGAGCATCGGCAAACTGGTTTCAGCTATTTTATGACACTTTTAGTTTGAGTTTATATTTTTACTGGTTTGTCATGACACAGCATGTACACTGTCAAATATGTTAAAGAAAAAGCCCTATTTAATAAAGAGGGAGGGCATTTGGGGGTGACTGCACTTTCAGGAGAGGGCAGTTGGTGATGATCAGGCTGGCAGGGGAGTAGTTAGGGGTGATCAGGCTGGCAGGTAGAAGCAGTTAGGGGTAATTATGCAGGCAGGTGAGCAGTTGGGAGCCAGCAGTCCTGGATTGTGAAAGGGACATCCCCTGAGGGACACCCCTACCCTCAATGCACAAATTTCGTGCACGAGGCCTCTAGTTATCAATAAGTGGAAGTGTCAGAAGGAACATGTTATTATAAAACCCAAAGTTTTAATGAAAAGTTATTTCAATTACACAATAAAAAACTTTATCAGAAATAATAAATTGGAAACAGTATATTTTAGTTAATAGCATTTACCAACTTTTGTTAATCAGCTTAACAATAACTCACAACCTTCAGACCAACTGCATTTACCAACTTTTGAAATGTTTATCAGGTTAAATAATTTGCTTTAAGTAAATATGTAGCATTGGTAATTAAAGATTAGATGATAAGTCTTGGTAAAGACATTTTGCCATTCTTTTAAAGGCACTACAGTTAAACCTTTAAGATCACTAGACAATTAGAATGATGCCTTACCAGTAGAATTCTGACCTGGTCACCATATTCTCACTACTCTTAAGCACAGTTTTCCATCTCACTCAGGAGCATCTTTCATGAGATGTATTTTAGAGTGCTTAATGGGGCAGAGAACAAGGAGATATGGCTATATTTTGGCCTCCTTGCTAATAGGTGTTGGCATAATAAGTTTGAATGCTTTGGGTTTCACACTATCTGCTAGAAAAGTTATGGGGAAGGACTCTTATAGCTTTAGATATGTCTAACCCATTGGAAGTTCACAATACTTATCCAATAACTGTGAATGATCAAATGACTTGGTCCAAAACTTTCAGAAAAACATAGAACAGCAATGAAGTTTAGAATATGTATTGTATTCATCAAAGAAACAGAACCAATGGGATATGTGTATACATTTACATATAAACATGCATTTACATATATACATGTACACATGTTAACACATGTGAAAGTTGTTTAATTACTATTGTCAGGATGCAGAAAGCAAATGTAGTCAGGCAATTTTAGGATGTGGAAGAAATACAAACCAATTACTTAATTTTATAGGTGAGAAAACTAAATAGTTATTTACTTGGTTTTCTAAAGTTTAACTATCTCACTAAAGAATGATCCAAGATACTGTTCCCTTAAGCATCTTTTTTGCCTCTTTTCCTTTTACCAATAAAGACAAAGATTCATAACAGGTACCTATTACAATAGGTACTCTGAACAAGTTTTAGTACTTGCTTTGACTATAACGATGAAGAGATTTTTTTAAGCCATACTTTGGCTTCTTGAAAAATAATTCCTTGAATTGATTAGTGAGGTGCTATGAAATAGGGAGAAATCACATCATTGCCACATATTTGCTATTAGTGTCCTCACATCAGGTGCCATGGGTTAGAGGGAAATAGAATGAAGTTAATCTAAACGTTGTTATTTTTTTAATTATAGCAATGATTATGGGGGGGAGCAGCGGCGTAAATAATTATAAATTTACTTTTTCAGAAAAATTAATTTGGTGGCAGTTCTCTGAATAGTTACAAAAGATATTCATTACTTTTAAAGCTGCAATTCTAATGGGAGTGCTACTGTGCAGTGTAATCTGAGGAGTGAGTGAACCCGGATATTGTCGTTTGAATCAGAGATCAAAACATGGATAAGAGAAAAAAATATATGCACCCCTATATTCAGAGTAGCACAATTCACCATAGCTAAGATTTGGAAACAACCTAAGTGACCATCAGCAGATGACTAGATTGAAAAGCTGTGGTACATCTACACAATGGAATACTACGCTGCGGTAAAAAAGAAGGGATTCTTACCATTTGCAACAACATGGATGGAACTGGAGAGCATAAGTGAAATAAGCCAGTCAGAGAGAGATAAATATCACATGATCTCACTCATTTATGGAATAGAATGAACAACATAAACTGATGAACAAAAACAGATCCAGAGACAGAGAAGCATCAATCAGACTGTCAAACTCAAAGGAAAGGTAGGGGAAGTTGGGGGTAAGGGTGGGAGATCAACCAAAGGAATTGTGTGCATGCATATAAGCCTAACCAAAATGAGGGGATGGGGGGTGGAGAGGGTATGGAGGTATGAGTGAGGAGGTGGGGGGCAATGGGGCGATTAGGACACATACGTAATACCTTAATCAATAAAGAAAAGGAAAGAAAAGAAAAAAAAGAAGAGGAGAAGAGAGGAGAGGAGAGGAGAGGAGAGGAGAGGAGAGGAGAGGAGAGGAGAGGAGAGGAGAGGAGAGGAGAGGAGAGGAGAGGAGAGGAGAGGAGAGGAGAGGAGAGGAGAGGAGAGGAGAGGAGAGGAGAGGAGAAGAGAGGAAAGAAAAGGAAAGAAAGGAAAGGAAAGGAAAGGAAAGGAAAGGAAAGGAAAGGAAAGGAAAGGAAAGGAAAGGAAAGGAAAGGAAAGGAAAGGAAAGGAAAGGAAAGGAAAGGAAAGGAAAGGAAAGGAAAGGAAAGGAAAGGGAAAGGAAAGGAAATGGAAAAGGAAAGGGAAAGGGAAAGGGAAAAGGAAAGGAGGGAAAAGGAAAGGAAAGGAAAGAAAAGAAAAGAAAAGAAAAGAAAAGAAAAGAAAAGAAAAGAAAAGAAAAGAAAAGAAAAGAAAAGAAAAACATGAATAAGAGGCGGCGACCAGTAAGAAATATAAGGACAATTTCTATTCTACTGTTTTCTCCACTCTATCCACTGTGCATAGAAAACTACCTGGAGCAGAGCTAAAGATCACTCAGCTGTTTTTGTTTTTTTTGTAAACTTCAGTTACAGAGACATATTTCCACAAAGGACAACTAGGGAAAATGGAAATTATTTTATCCTGCTAGTGGTGGCAGTTAGTGCAGCCAATCTATTATACAGATTAAAGGCTAGTTTAAAATATTATATTTAAATAAACCATAGCATCAGAAGTCCATACCACATTAGCTTATTATTAATAAAGATAATAAAGCAAATGGATACATGATTGTCTTTATCTCCTTGTTGGCGAGAATATTCTAGAAATTTGGAACTGTTCCATAATACCCTTAGTTATTCAAGATTAATTAAACATATTTTAAGGAACATGCACACACATTTCATTCCCTGAAATAATTTATAATACATCAGATAGATAATAAAAGTCAGAACAATTATCTCTAAGATCATAGCTATACCACTTTTAGAAGTTTTGCAGTTGGCATTAGATCAGTCCTCTTCTGGGGTTGAGAAAGACAAATTACAAGCTTGAGAGCTATACCAGGTGCAGCAGCTGACAGCAGAGACTTGCCTATAAAGGCAAAATATTGTACCCAAGTTATTGTAGCAATCTCAATGGTTGTGACTCAGGGTGTCTGTCATGTGTCAGAACTCCTGCCCAAAACAAGTAAGGGCCCAGGGCGTTTGAACCAAGCTTTAGTTTTTGCTAACTTGGGCTTGGCATTAAACTTAGCACATGAAACGTGATTTGCAGGCAAAAGATCTTGCTGCATAGGAAGATAGAAATAATTATTTCCAAGGCAAAACTGTAATAAATAAATATTCCTAGGAGAGATATCAAAGAGCCCAAACTGAGAGGTATAGTGAGAGATAGTGGAAAGAAGGGGTGTTGGGTGTGGCTTAGTGGATAGTCAGCCTAGAGAGGATCCCTTAGACACCAAATTGGGAGATTTTAGCCTCAGTTATGATTTTTTTTTCTGGGGCAATAAGGGATCTAAACCTGTTCAGACACAAGAGGAAATAAACTAAAGTTCCAAAATGGAGAGCAGCGCCCAATAATAGGCAATTCTCAGAAGTTAAGAGACTGATAAGATTCAGGAAGGATTCTCCCCAGAAAACAGGTTCCAGCCCCCAGTCAGGGTCTCAGAGTAGATGTCCCGTTCTCAGGAAAGAGCCCAAGGGAGACTAACGACTTTTCGCCTTTGTAAACTCAGAAATTAGAAATTTGGATGTGTACTTAGATTAGGGACACACACAAAACCTAAACTACATGATGTGGGGCATGAAGCGTGTTATCAAAATAGGGACACTGCAAGGCCATGTGACTCAGGGAACATCTTGAAACCCAGAAAACAGCCATGGAACAGTGTGCCCAGAATCAAGTTTTCAACAAAGGGAAATAGGGACAGAACTAGAAAAGATGGTGTCAGTGTGCAAACATTTCTTGGGCCATGTTAATAGGGAGGGAAACATAATTTTTGGACCAAATATATGGAGATTTAATAGGATAAATATTTTCTTGGCAATACTAGGAAAAGGTAAGAATAGTCTACAAAAAGGTAATGATTGATCTTAACTTTACAAAATTTGGAAACTCGGAGTCAGGAGCAAAACTGAGAACTGGTTAATGACACTAGAAAATCAAAGTTTTAAAAACACATTTGTTTTTTATAAACCCCATTTGATTGCCCACATCAAATTCCAACTACCCTGTTTTAACACATTACAGGTCAGTTCTTTCAGATTTGCAGTGTAGATTCTTCAAAGCTCGGTGCGGAACTGAAGACCACTTCCAGACATTTCCTTCCTATAAATGGCATCGAATTTCTCATTTTGGGCCACTGTGAAGTAATTCTTCCAGTCACCTGCAACCCCTAAAAATAAGAAATAAAAAAACATATGAAGGAATAAAATATTTATATTATGAAGGTACAGCTAGCATATACCAAAAGAAAAGGTAAGAAAAGTTGAAGGAAGACTTTCCTTGTATCTAAATACTTTAAAATGCCATTTCTCTTTTACTGGTAACTATGGAGTCTGACATTTAAAGACACATTCTGAGAAGGGTTAATTTTCTTGACCAAATTTATGGGTTGTACAATGTTGAGTTTCCTGAAAGAAATCCTTTTAGAGTTTATAAATTTCCCAAGTCATAGATTATAACTGGACCCTAGCCAGGTATATTTTATTCCATGAGTTACTTTTGGAAACTGTACAAAGGAGTGTTCAACAGCACAACCAAACCATAAAATAGAGAGCAAATAAGTATCAGTTCTTATTTATTCATAAATGAGTATGGTATGATACTTGTTATTTCTGAGTTCAGTAGATTTCTATTGTATTTGCATTTTAGATGAGAAGAATAGCATCAGACATAACATTCCTGAATTGTCTTTTCAAAAGTAAACTTTTGTGATATAAATTTATTTATTTTCTTAATCTTGGATTCTTATATTTCTTTGAAAAACAAAATTTAATGTACTGTCAATGTGATTGGGGGGAAACATTGACTTTTCTATATTATGAAATATTGTCCTATTGCATTGTATCTATATTAACTTGTGATGGTTTGATGAAGATTTCAAGTCCTTTTAACGAAAAACACCCCCTTAAGTTATTTCCCTGGTTATTATTCTTTGTTCTATGGCAAGAGCTCTTAAGAATGTATATGAGGGTAGTGTATATTCAAGATAGTACATATGTGAGGATGTCATTAAAAAACAGATAGCACAGATTTAAACAGTAAAGGCTCACACATAGAGTACTCCAATGATCTATTTTCAATGTAAATTAATACATATAAATATATTTGTGTTCCAAGATTAAGGAATGCGTAACTTCTTTTTTGATACAATAAATGCTGGCCAACGCCCAGATTTTCTGCTTTGTTGCAATTTGGGACACAGGTATAAATATTGCACATCATTTATCCTGTTTCTACTACCTTTACCACTGTGTGTCTAAATTATAACACTGATTCATCCAACATAGAATTCTTCAAGACTTGAATGGCTCTTTGATCATATAATTTTTAGCCCTTTTCAGCATCCATTTATATGCATGTCTCTTGCATTGCATTATGAGCCTCCTGAAGCAGATGCATGTGCCATTCAACCTTGTATGTTCTATAGAATATGTGCTAACTATAGGTATTTATAAAGAGTTTTTCCTACATATAACTTAATGAATGAATGTGCATTCTTTAAATGTATATTGAAAGCATGAATGAATAAATGGATAGAGGAATCTTGAATTGTTTAAAGTAATAAGACTTGCTATTTTTGTGTACTATTTATGATCACAAATATATTCCAAATGCTTACATATCATTTACCTTAATCTTCCCCCAAAAGCTGTGCCATAGATGCTAGTATTTTCTCCATTTTTAGTGATGTAATCAGAGTTATTGCAGGTGATTAATGTATTCCAAGTCATAAATTCGGTAAGTAGCAGAGTTTGGATAAATTCTAGACCAATCTGACTATAAAGGACATGTTCTTTACCACTTCTGGAGGACATGTAAAAACTGTCTCTCTTATTAAGCTAGCATGCACTTTTTTAGGTGGAAGTCGGAGAAAGATTTAGATACTGAATTTATCTCCTCTACCTCCATACTCTAATGAGGCTCATGCAGTGGTATCAATTCTCATATTATTGGGGATAAAACTGTTCTAGAAATTTCAGTCAATCACCTGGCATGAAATATTTGCCTTGTTTTATAAAGTTTTTTCTTCTTAGTCTCCCATCAGAAAATGTGTGTGTATTATTAGTTTTTTATGTTCAAATTTGTAATGCACTATTTACAATGGAACATTTGCTTTGCCTTCTTATATCAGAAGTTGTTTTTGAAAAATTAAATATAGCGTTTTTGAAAATCAAAACACAATTTTAAAACACTGAAACTATTTTTCATTTTAACAAGTTCTGGAGGAAATGTTTTATAAAAAATGTAACCATATACTCTTTCAAAGTTAAGGGTTTTTCTTCTACATATTCCTATCCCCAATACATTCCCAGGGTTATGTTTACTTCCCAGTGCACCAACTTAAAATTCTTCCCTTTCCTTTCAATTCAGTAAAATATATATATATATATATTGAAAATAAAGGGTGGCATTATTAGGTGCATAACTTCTTAAATTTTTTAAGCTAATAATTTTTAAATGCATTCTTTTTATCATTAATAAAACATTTGAATACAAATCATATACAACAAGCCAAAATGGAAGTACGTTTTAGGTAGCATAGCTTCTCATAGTATTAAAAAAGTCTTTTCTCTTGATGAATCCTTTTTAACAAAGTTTCCTAAATAATTCGGGGACTTTAAAGAACATGTTACTATATGGAATAACATTAGTTTATCACTGAGAAGGAAGTCTATGCCAATTTAGACAAAGATTGAGGATTTAGGTATAACAAATTTGGAATAACTCAGAATTAACAAGACCACTCCCATGTAGCAGAGTAGCAAATACAAGGAGAAATATGTACCAAATATGTACTCAAGGTATTCTGACAATAGGTTTACAAGCATTATTTCCTTTATTAATTTCTAATCTGATTCAACAATGTTGTGTGGTTATTATTTTTAGTGTCCTTATTTTACAGATGAGAAAACCGATACCCAAACTGGTTAAGTAATTTGGTAGAGATTACAAAGTTAATCCTCATTTCAGAGTAATATTTAGCAAAGTAAAAATGAAACTTAAACTTAGAAAAAATATTCACCTTTGCGCATAAATGGGGATTTACTATGATCCATCACTGTACTTGGTACATGTGTATAATTCACCAGAGGGTTGTCCTTCATCATTCCAAATGAGGTGTCATAGATGATCTTATTCAAGATGTCATCATTTAGGTTTTTCCCTAAAAATGTAGCAATCTTCTTGATTTCCTTCATTGGATTCTATTAGTGGGTAAAGAGACATATAAAAAAAAAGGTAAAATTAATGTAAAAACTATAGTATTTATAATATGTGTTCATAAATGTTTAATTTTTAATATTGAATCAATATTTTATGTTTAAGAAAATAGAGTAGAAATGTTTTGCTTGTTACAAATCTTATATTTTAATTTACATTAAAAATACAATAAGAGCCAAAGCTGGTTTGGTAGAGCATTGGTCTGCGGACTGAGGGGTCCCAGGTTTGATTCCGGTCAAGGGCATTTACATTGGTTGCGGGCACATCCCTGGTAGGGGTGTGTAAGAGGCAGCTGGTCGATGTTTCTTTCTCATCGACTTTTCTAGCTCTCTATCTCTCTCCCTTCCTCTCTGTAAAAAAAAATCAATAAAATATATTTTAAAAATTACAATAAGAATAAACCTTGAGCTAAATATTAACAATGCTTATAAAAAATAATCTTAAAACTTATTTCAAGCTCAATTTGTAATCAGATTTGAATTGTGCATGTTTTAGAGACCCAGCATCTTTTTATTCTTCCCATCTCTCTTTTTCTACTTTTAATAAAAACTTATTTTGCCCAACCAGTGTGGCTTAGGGGTTTAGTGTCAATCAAGAAGTCATTGGTTCAATTCCTGGTCAGGGCACATGCCCAGGTTGTGGGCTCAGTCCCCAGTAAGGAGCATGCAGAAGGCTGGCAGGCAATATATGATGTTTTTCTCTCATCAATGTTTCTATCTCTGTATCCTTGTCCCTTCCTCTTGCTTCAAAAAAATTAATAAAAGCATTAAATTTTTTTTATTGTTTTTACTAGCAGTATTTAAAAACAAAAATAATAAATTCATGGACAATTTCAAGTATATTTGCTTTAAGGTATACTGATTAGACCTTGCTTAGACATAAATTATTACAAATCCTACATAATAAAAGAGTAATATGCAAATTAATCACCACTCCACTACTCCCACAAACCATGCCCACAAGCCACGCCCACCGGCCAATCAGAACGACTATGCAAATTAACCCCAACCAAGATGGCTGTGGTCACAGAGAGCAGGAGAGAGGCGTGGGTTTCCCTGGCAATAGAAGGAGCCAAGCTTTTGCAGCCCTGGGGGGGCCTAGGCCTCCACTCCAGGCTACAAAGTTTCAATTATAGAAGGTAAACAAATCCAAACAGAAATGGTGGAAGCCACAGAGTGAGCAAGGGCCTTGGCTCTGCTCCAGGCTACAAAGTTTCAATTGTAGAAGGTAAATAATTTCTAGATACCATGCCTCTGCTTGGGTCACTGGGGGGCGTGGCTGGCCTGCAAACCACTACAGGCCCCTCACTCAGGCCTCCCCACTTACCAAAGGAACCCCCACCCTGATCTGGGACACCCTTCAGGGCAAACCAGCTGGCCCCCACCCATGCACCAGGCCTCTATCCTAAATAGTAAAAAGAGTAATATTCAGATAGACCATCACTCCAGCATACAAGATGGCTGCCCCCATGTGGTTAAAGATCCTTCCCCCACATGGACACAAGATGGCCACCACAAGATGGCCAGCACGGGAGGACAGTTGGGAGGGACCAGGTCTCCAAGGGAGGGCAGTTGGAGGCAATCAACCCTACAGGGTAGAGCAGTTAGGGGTGACCAGTCTGGGAGAGGAGGGAAGTTGGGGGCAAACAAGCTGGCAGGGAGCAATTAGACATCAATAAGGCTGGCAGGGGAGTGGTTAGGGATGATCTGGCAGGCAGAAGCACTTAGGGGCAATCAGGAAGGCAGGCAGGCAAGCAATTGGGATCCAGCAGTTCTGGATTGTGAGAGGGCAGTTGGACATCCCTTCAGGAGTCCCAGATTAAAGAGGGTTTAGGCTGGGCTGAGGGACACCCCCCTCCCCCATGCATGAATTTCATGCACTGGGCCTCTAGTAAACTAATAAATGAGTAAAGTCATTGAATCCTAAATTATTCATGAGCCATTGAGGATAATAAGGATAAAATATGAGAAATTGGTAATTTTCCAGATTCTAATGACATAAACTTAAGTTTTGTAACATTTTAGGATGCCAAAGTAAAATCTGCATGGATATGTCTAGAAAGATTTTGAGGAAGTGATATCTATGCTGAGTTTAAAAAGGTGAATATAATTTAGCAACATGTGTGGTCTTTTGAAGTGTTGGACAGTGAATTTTTCATAATGAAAAAGTTAAACTCTTAGGGATATTAGTGTCTCATAGTTCAAGGGAGAAAAAACACACAAAATGGTTGGAGTTAGATCTGAGTTATTTGTGGGGATGAGAGAGGCTATAAAACTGAAAAGATAAGTTGGGTTTAAATTAGGAACATCTTTAGATATCTTGTTGGAGGATTTCGACTGTTTCTGTAATGCCAAAGGAAAGAAACAGCTTTTAATAACATGTCTTATTAACTCTGTGCCTGTGTGTGTGCAGATATATGTTTACACATGTGTATGTTTTGGCAGGGAGGTCTCTAGAAGGGAAGTTATGATAATATTTTATGTGTGAGGCCTTGATAAGGGAAAAATAAAATGGCTAATTAAGAGGTGTCAATGCTTAGAATGAGTAAAAAGTCAGAAATGATGATAGTGAAGAAAAAGCCAAAAGAAAAGTTAGTAGTAGTACTAGGAAAACACATAGATGAACAGGCAAATAGAGAGCAATTTCTCTTAAGGATTCAATGCTGATTTTACTTTATAAACCAGCACAAGTTCAAATACTGGGTGCTGACTCCTATTGAATCTTGCTCTCCTGCATTTCTCTTTCACCTCATTGAGAATTTACGCAGTCACTCATAAACTAGATGAAACTAATTAGGCTTCTCTCTGAATTTTATTCTTGATAGGTAATTATAATTTTGCTCTAATATTGTTACATTATAAGTTTTTGTATAACATTGTCTAGGAATGTCTATAAGGCAGTAGAAAAACATTATATTTTAATTATTACCTGAATAGAAGGTCTGAATGTGATTCAAATATCTGCATATGCTTACAAAGCTGATTAGACTATACTACAAATCAATCAATATAAATGAGTTGATTTGAATAAGGCATGTTAACTGAATAAAGCAGAAATGCAGACACCAGAGCAGCATGATGTGTGACTCAGAATTTGGATGCCAGCCCAGATCAGGAAATGTATTTCTCCATTCTGTGGAGAAAGGGAACTATATTAAGAAGCTAAAATTGCTCTTTTCATAAAGCTAACAAGTGCTACTCAAGTGTATAGGAAGAGAGATACTTGGAACAGAAGAACAATTTTCTCTCTTACAAAGAACTAAAGACCTGGTGCACAAAATTCATGCATGGGGAGGAGGGGAGGATGTCCCTCAGCCCACACTGCACCCTCTTTAATCTTGGATCCCTCTCACAATCTAGGATTGCTGGCTCCCAACCACTTGCCTGCCTGCCTTCCCGATTGCACCTAACAGCTTCTGCCTGCCAGCCTGATCACCTCCTAACCACTCCCCTGCCAGCCTGATTGATGTCTAACTGCTCCCCTGCCAGCCTGTTTGCCCCTCAACTTCCCTCCTCAGTCTGGTCACTCTTTAACTGACCTCCCCTGCAGTCTTGATTGCCCCCAACTGTCTTCCCCTGCAGGCCATCTTGTGGTGGCCATCTTGTGTCCACATGGGGGCAGGATCTTTGACCACATAGGGACAGCCATCTTGTGTGTTGGAGTGATGGTCAATCTGTATATTACTCTTATATTAGATAGTATAGATGCCTGGTGCATGGGTGAGGGCCGGCTGGTTTGCTTTGAAGGCTGTCCCAGATCAGTGTGGAGGTTCCCTTGGGGCATGGGGTGGCCTGGGCAAGGGGCCTGTGCTGGTTTGCAGGCCTGCCAGGCCCCCCAGCTACTCAAACGGAGGCCCTGGTATCTGAAATTTATTTACCTTCTACAATTGAAACTTTGTAGCCTGGAGCAGAGCAAAGCCTTCTGCTTGCTTCATGGTGGCAGCCATTTCTGTTGGAATTTATTTATCTTCTATAATTGAAACTTTGTAGCCTGGAGCAAAGGCCTTGGCTGGCCAGACTGCAGAAGCTTGGCTTTTTCCATAGCTGGGGGCAACCCTCGCCTCCTGCTCTCTTCAACTCCCTGGCCACAGCCTTTCTGTTGGGATTTATGTATCTTCTATAATTGAAATTTTGTAGCCCTGACCAGAAGCCTGGGCCAGCTTGGATGTGTGGAAAGCTTGGCTTCCTCCATCGCCAGGGAAACCCAAGCATCACCTTGTGCTCTCTCTGTGGCTGCAGCCATCTTGGTTGGGTTAATTTGCATACTCACTCCTAATTGGCTTGTGAGTGTGGCTTGTGGATATGGCTTCTGGGTATAGCAGAGTGATGGTTAATTTGCATGTTACTCTTTTATTAGACAGGATATGTAACTGAATCTGATTAATTAAAACCACTTTAGTTTTCCAGATGTGTATGTCAGCAAGTTGACATTAATTGTCTCAAACACTGATAAGATTTAGACCACAGATTCTCTATGGTCTACATAACTGTGACAGGTGGGATCCTGTGCAGAACAGAAATACTGGGGACTCTTTTTGATAAGATGTAAGAAATAACCTGGGGATTAATCAGATATATGTGGAGCAAGGGAGATTTTACCGAAGCATAATTTCTGGCATGCAAAATAGAATTGTCACTAAAATGTTTCTTAATACTGCTTACTCATTAATTTATTAACTCATTCAAGCAATCCATTATTTACACAACATAGATGCTATATTAGGTATTGTGGATGCAATCACAAGAATCATAGATATGGTATCTTCTATCATGAACCCGAAAATCTAAAAAGTATTCTCATTTGTATGCCCAGGCTTTTAAGAACTACAGAAATGTGGTTTCCACATATTTCCCATATATGTGCATGCACACACCTACACATTTGCCTAATTTGAGTAAAATAGCTCCAGAATAGGCCTGGAGCTTTGCAGTAATATTTGAACTAATACTGGTTCATAAGGAGACTAGATGAATAATAATGACTAAGAGGGAGGTAGAAAGAAAATAAAGGAGGAAAGCACATTTGAAGGATATAATAGGGCATGTGAATCCATGGATGTTCAGGATGTAGTTGAATTATATTAACTATATGGTAGCTAATGAGGACAATTTCCTTTTAAGTTTTAAAAACTGAATGGACATATAACATCATTAACCAATAGAGAATAAAAGAAGAAAAGGAGTACATGTTGGAGAGAGAGAAGCAAGGTAAGTTTAGTTTTAAACATGTTAAATTTGATGTCGATGTTAATAAAAGCATGGGTTTAAATTCAGTGTAGAGGGCCACCAATAGCACATAAATAATTTTAGCAATAGTGGGCATGAATACCAAAATATAGCAAGCAGCTTAAAAAAAAAATGACCAAGTGATAGAGATATACCAAAAAAACCATGAGAGTGTGATAATGTGTTAGATGGATGAGAGACTTTCCGAAAGAAAAAGTACTTAATAGGATCAGAGGAATAAAATTGTTAAAGGATTCACAGTTAGAAGGTCATTATTGATATTAATAAGATTTGGGTAAGCAGGCATGAAGGACTGGAAAAGCAATCGTATCATTTTAAAATTTTTATATTATTCCTTTTACCCCAGGATGTAGTAAGGAATTATTCAGAATAAATTTTTACCATTTTACCTCTTTCATATCTTCATAGTGCAAGAAAAGTATTGGGTGTTCTTCTTTTTTCTTCCACCAGCTCTTAACATGATTAAACCAGGAACCATAGGCCACTAAAACAAAACAAAACCAAAAATCCTATTTCCATAAGCATTCATAAAATTAAAGATTTGTTTCTGAAAAATAAGTCAAATTGTACAAACATTTTGTGGATGTTAATAATCAAGGGAACTGAGAATGTAAGGCCAATTTACAAATAATCAGATTTTGAAATATAAGGTACAAGGAAGCATTTCAGTTGAAAATACATTGACCTTCAATAGGTTATACTTAACCTCACATGGAAGGAGACTATTCTTTTTATGAAGTACTAATATCAAATATGTATCTAAGTACTATAAATATGTGTATAATAGATTTTACTAATGGTTTGGACAAGGTAAACAATTTCAATCATGAACAGAAACAGAATGGATTTCTAGAAACTAAAAAGAGGTTAGAGAATATTTTCATTAAGCCAATGTTTTTGTTTTTGTCTTTTAAAATATATTTTTATTGATTTCAAAGAGGAAGGGAGTGAAAGATAGAAACATCAAAAGATGAGAGAGAATCATTGATCCAGTTGCCTCCTGCAAGGTCCCTTCTGGGATCAAGCTCCCAAGCCAGGCAAATGCCCTAACCTGGAATTGAACCATGACACTCAACTACTGAACCATGCAGGCAGAGCAAGCCAATGTTTAACAGCAAGTTTATATATTGAATATCATAGTAAAATATTAGACATATTTGATTTAATTTTTTAAATGGTATTTGGATATACTTGTACTGACTTGGCAAAAAAAAAAAAAAAAAAAAGTGTTTTAAAAGAAAAAGTCACCCTAACTGGTTTGGCTCAGTGGAAAGAGCATCAGCCTGAGGACTGAAGGGTCCCAGGTTCAATTCCAGTCAAGGGCGTGTACCTTGGTTGTAGGCATACCTCAGTAGGGGTGCGCAGGAGGCAGCTGATCAATGTTTCTTTCTCATTGATATTTCTGACTCTCTATTCCTCTCCTTTCCTCTTTATAAAAAGTCAATAAAATATATTAAAAAAGAAAATATAGGTAAATAAGATTATTTTCCAGTTATTAAAAAAAGAAAAGAAAAAGTCATAGCAGTAATAGTTAATAGTATTATTAAAAATTACAAATTACTTATTAATTTTAAACCAAGACCTACCTACCATTTCCAGCCATGAATCTCTCTAGATATTCATCCCAGGTGCCAGGAGGAGGTTGCAAATTATTCATCAAGTCAAAATGGTAATATGAGACTGCAACATCCTTGGCATTTCGAGCCAGATAAATCATCTGCAGCAGGAGAAGGAAGAAATGGGTGGCATTTTTTAAGAGAAAAATTAACATACAGGCAAGGAAAGCAACATATTTGAAATCCATGAAATGTCTACAAATCAATTTTTAAAAATTAAAAAATAAACATACTCATACTATACATTTAAAAATTGCAGTACTTGATATTTACCCAAAAGAGTTAAAAAAATAAGGTACCCAGAAAAATGTGCACATGATTGTAACAGCTTTATGCATAATTCAACCAATATGTCTTTCAGCAGGTGAGTGTAAAAAAAAGTGTGGTACAACCAGATAATAGAATATTATTCAACACTAAAAATAAATGACCTATGAAGCCATGAAAACACATAGAAGAATGTTAAATGCATGATAGAAAGAATAAAATCTGTAAAGGCTACATACTGTGTAATTCCAATTCCATACTGTGTATTTCTACAACACCAAGAAAGAACCCTAATTATGATAATGATGTGTCAATGTAGGTTCATCAGTTGTAACAAAGGTACTACTCTAGTGGGAGATGATGATAATAGAGAATCTAAATGTGTGTGAGGGCAAGGAAGTATGAGAAATTGCTTTGACTAAATTTTGCTGTGAACTAAAAATTGGTCTAAAAATAAATTAAATTGCTATAAAATAATATCTGTTTAAAGAAAGAATAAGAATGGAATATTATAAATAGCTTTTCATTACAAAATTCAACAACTTAGAATTCCTCACACATCACAAACTAGCAAAAGTCAGCTAAGATAAAATAGACAATCTGAATAGCTCCACAATTATTGAAGAAAATGAATTTAAAATTTCTCCAAAACAAATATCCAGTCATAAATGTTTCACCAGAGAACTTTACCAATCAAATAAGAACTGATATCCTATGTTGAATTTTCAGAGAAATAATAGCAGCAATATTGTGTTGAGATGAGAATCCTATTGCTATATAATGTTGGTATATAGAATTAGACTAAAATAATTGAGCCTTAGGCCAGGGGGCTCAATTGGTGGTTTGGATGTTGTTTCATACACCAAAAAGTTTGCAGGTTCAATTCCCAGTAAGGGCAGTTATCTAGGTGGAGGGTTCAACCCCCAACTGGAGCACGTAAGACAGGCAATAAGTAAATCTTCTCTCTCTCTCTCTCTCTCTCTCTCTCTCTCTCTCTCTCTCTCTCTCTCTCTTCATCTCAGTATAAAATCAATAAAAACATAAATTTGGGTGAATATAAAAAATATACTTGAAGCACTTTCATTGAAACACTTTCTTATGCAGCTCAGTTCTCAAGGTAACAAATAAAAAACAAACAAACATCTGAGCAATTACTTACCTCTATGGTAGTAGCCCAGTGCACAAAGTTTGTTCATGGGGGTCGGGGGGCACCCTCGACCCAGCCTGCACCCTCTCCAATCTGGGATCCCTTTCACAATCTGGGACTGCTGGCTCCAAACAACTCACCTGCGTGCCTGCCTGATCACCCCTAACCACTCTGCCTGCTGGCTTGATCTCCCCAACTGCCCCCCCCTCCCCCCGACCAGCCTGCTCACCCTCAACTGAACTCCTCTACTGGCCTGCTCACCCCCAACTGCACCACCCTTCTGGCCTGATCACCCTTAACTCTCCCCCCTCACAACCACCACCACCATGCCAGCCTGTTTGCCCCTAACTGTCTTCCCCTCCTGGCTTGATTGCCCCTAATCACCTCTGTCTCAATCTCGCCACCACATGGCTTTTTCCAGAAAGATGTCTGGAAGGTCTTCCAATCTAATCAGCATATTAGCCTTTTATTAGTATAGATGTGAGTGAGTCAAGGGTTAGATTAAAAAATTGACTGGCACCTTGCAGTTGTTCTTCCAAAAAGACTCAGGAAGGAGATCAATCGGCAGATGTGTCTTCACAAGCCGGGGTGATGGATTCTTCTCTAATTGTTCTACTCCTGGAAAAATTTAGTTTGGTATATAGAGATATTAGAGTCTCCAAGGACCCTGCCTTTCCTGGTTTTCTCAACCAGCCTTTAAAAATATTTCTGAACAGTAATAAATGTTACTAAATTTTAAACTAATCATAGACATTATTTACCCAGATTCTAAGAGGCAATATTATACGCTGGTTAAGAGCATAGGATATGCGATTGGCCTCCTTGAATTAAAACTCCTAACTCTATCACTGACTCACTGTGAGACATGTGAAAGTGTCACAGTCTCTATGCTTCACTTTCTGCATCTCCAAAATGGGGAGTAATAATACCAATCTTAGCACTTTGGTTTTATCATACCTGTGTATAATATAAATAATTATAAAAATGTTTTCTCTCTAATATCTAAAGTCTCACATCAACTGTAGTTTTACATCAGCTATTATAGTAGCTGTGATGTCATTTTTGTGTAGCATTAGCTTTCCCCCCCTCATTTTCATTGTTTCCTTTATGTGTCATATGTATATGCAAAATAAAAATGTTGTATAACTTTGAGGTGTTAGCTGAATTCCCCAAAGTCATACAACTAATATGTGGAGATTTTGGTTTCACATGAAGTCTTTGGACAAGGGGGTATATAAACTCCCTCGAGGCAGAAAGTATCCATTTATTTTCCATGTTGAGAATCAGGATTATCTCACTGAATAAGTGACTTGGCCAGTATGAATGCACTTGTGGGAAAAAGACATAGAGCAGTTGAGACATAGGCTAGGGAGAGCTGTACTCACCCTTTTCACTCACTATTCTCTTAATGGACGTGTGGCCTTTATCATATTCCAGATATAGCTGTTATAGATAGATGTCCTCTCCTACAGAGTCATCAAGATCTCATTAATTGTCATTTCCTCTTTCAGGTTTCACAGCCATGAAATCATAAAGTCCTCTTCACAATATTACTTACATCCAGTCTAACATCTAGATTACCTGTAAATCCTACATTATCTTCCCACCTTTTGCATATGAAGACACACCTGCCCCAAATTTTATCTGACTCACTCATTCAAAGCAATCCTATGCTTCAACTGTTTACAGAATTTTATTGCAGATGCTAAAAAGTCACTCAGTATCTCTCTACTAAAACATCCTTTTCAAATCTTTATAACACTTATTTTTATTCTCCATTCATTTTTCATTTATTTATTGTCAATTCTCTTGTGTCTTCCTTGTCACTGCCCCCAAACACACAGGGCTGGTGCTTGTTTTGTTTACCAACAAATGCTTTTTAGAGAGTAGTGCGTAGCACATGGTTTGTAGTAAGAAAACCCCTTAATATCATTGAAGATAGAGTTCGAAGATTTAGAAAATAAAGATGCAGAAAATCTGGTTAAATTTGAATTTCAGATTAAAACAGATGCCTTTTAGTATAAGTATCCCCCAAATAATATTTGAGATATACTTATCTATAATAATAGAAGTGCAATGTGAAAATCCACCAAATGGCCGAACAGTGAAACAACCGTCCTGACAGGGCGTGCTCTTGCATGGATTTCATGCATCAGGCCTCTAGTACTAAATAAAATTGTTATCTGAATTTCAGGTTCAATTTGATATCCTGAATTTTATTTTAAAAATTAATTATTTATCTATAAAATTCCTATTTCACTATGCTTCTACCCATCTGGTAGTTACAGCCTGTTTACTCAGCATATGGAAATGAGAGATCATAACATTCCACAGCTCACTATTCCTCAGTGCCATGACACAAACTCTTCTGTCTATTTCTTTTTTAATGTTTTTCCACATTGTTGTTCCTTTTCCTGCCCTCAACTTTCTTCTATCTTATCATTGTTCTGCCATTGATATCCTTTAAATGAACCCTTTGAATGCATAAATATAAATGTTGGGAATATGTAATGACACCACAAGTATTCACATTCAGGCTCCAGGCTAAATATGAGTGCCAGTTTATCCTCCTTTACCTGGTGTACCTCACCTACTCACTCTGGCAATGCTACACAGCCTTACTAACCACCTCAACCCCTGTCTCTCACAAATAATCTCCAACTCCCCTATTGCTGATTCTACCACCTTTTTATTTCATACTATTCATTGGGTCTGGAGTCTTACATCATTCTAACACTCATTTGGTTGCTTGTCCTTTAATTTCAAGCTTTAGCATTTGCCCTCTGACTTCAGGCAACCACACAGGAAGAATGACACATGCCTAGATGGTCCTTCTCTGCCTGTGTAAGCAACTAGCTCCTGTAGGCAAGAGCATTTGGATTCTGCTCTTTAGGTTGATATACAATTTCTTCACTGAACTGATTCCAGGCTTTCAGCAGCACTAGAGAGCCAGGCCTTACTTCTTAACACCTCTCACTTGCCTTTAGGACATCACACTTTTCTGATTCTCTCTCAGCTCATTTCTTAAAAATTACAAGTCCTACATGATCTGTCCCCAGCAAGCCTCCAATTGTTTTGCATTTCATTCTTCCCTTTTTTCATTATTGTTGTCGTGTTTTTTTTTTTGTTTTGTATTTTTTTTGGTTTTGTCTTGTCTTTTCTTTTCTTTTTTCTTTCTTTCTTTTCTTTCTTTCTTTCTTTTTTTTTTTTTTTAAATTCCAGGCTATCTCAATGCCTTTTCTGCAGCTAGGTCTTTATAGCTAATACTTCACCTTCATGAAATATGCTTCCTCCAACCTTCCTCCAACCCTATAATGGTTTTAGCTCTCAATTCAGGAGACATATCCCTAATCATCCAGGAAAAAGTAAACTTTTTTGTTGTTTTCTTGTCCTATTCTCTGAATACATAAGACCAATAATATGCACATATCGGTAGTTTACTTACTTAATGTCCCATTATTACCATCAACTTCTTGGGGGTTAGGACAGCTAATTTACTAATCATTTTGTATTTAGCTCATATAACAGTACATAATTATTTAGAAGCATTCAATAAATATTTGTGAAATAATAAATGACTTATTAATAATAAATTTTATTTTTAAAAGGTATTGGTATTTCTTAATTTACTTAACTACACCAAAGTTCTAATTAGAAACTTATTGCTCTACTCCACCAAATTCTAAACAATAAAAGTCAATAAAATATAAGAAATGTTTTATGTTATCAACTAAATTTTTAATTGTTTTCTACAATAAAAATAAATGTATTTATTTTTGGTTACCATACCTAAATAAAGACTAAAATTGCAGTTTCTCTATATGTCTAAGTTATTGTATTGCTTTCAAACTTCCATTTTAAATGACAAAATTTACTAAATTTTTAGTGGGAATCCTAAACATAATAATTAATATGTTAGATAAATAATGCTACAAAATTATAATTCCCAAATGGCTTAAAATTACCTGATATTCTTAGTCCAGGGACAGCCATCTCCAACATTGGAACTTTCACAGTTATAAAATCTCGCTTACATTTTTCATCATCTCCATCATTTAAAATCATGTCCACGATTTCACTTACCCACGTGGTACCTGTGGCAAAAACCAAAATTTTTTTTATAAACCATAACCTGAATTTGAGAGGAAAAGTACCCATTGGAAGCCTGCCATCTTAATATATTTTATTAGAAACTTAATTCTGAAGTTTCATTTCCTATTCACCAAATGCCCATTTGAATATATTTGAAGTAGATTGCTAGACTGACTGATAGGCATATTAATTTTATTTAGGATGATAATGATTTTATAGAAAGGTTGATTTTCAGAAAACAAAGGTTGATATGAGACCTGCATTTTTCAGGCCACAGAACTCACCTGATTTGGGGTAAGTGGCAATCACCATGTCATCTGGCCTGCTGTGGAACTGTTCAATTCTTTCCCAGTTGTCCACAAAAGCATAAATCATGGGATGGCCATGAACCATCTTCAAATTTTTTCTCAGGACATCTTTGGAAGTAATCATTTTTGTACCAAATTGTACAGATTCTTAAGAGAATATTTACTGACACTCAAATCCTGGAGAAATAGAGAGAATAACAATCACAAGCAGAGTAACTGATGTTATTCATGACACTGAAACATGCCACAAAGTAAAATTGGCCTCTAACACACTGAGCACACAGAGATCTAAATACAAAGGGCGTTTTTGTGGGTATACAACTGTAGATTGCAAAAGCAGCAATTGGCTCAGTGACAAGCAGAACAAAGGTCTTTGGTGGAAGCTTTGGAAAGAAAGGGAACTGCATATCTTACTTTGAGTTAAAAAAAAAATCAGACTTTAGAGACTTTTGTTAAAAAGTATCAGGACTTAATGCAAAATAAATGTATCACTCATAATTATACTTTAATTTACCTAATTTTTCCTTATAGAAATCTGTTTTCTTTCCTATCATTCTTTTCTTGTCCAGAATGCATCTGTTTTCTCAGTCTGCTTGTAAGACTGAGTATGTTCTTTGTCACTGATTTTGAGCAATTAAATGATGATGTGCCTTGGTGTGGTTGTTTTCATGGGCGTGTGCCTGTGCTCATGTGTGCACACTTCAAGTTTATCAAGCTTCTTAGAAATGTGGGTTTTATAGTCATTATTCACATCCTTTTTCTATTTCTTCTTCCTTCTGGATCTTGGGACTCCATACAGTTTTGCACAGCTCACTGATGCCCTATTCATTTTTAAAAAATCCTTTTCTCTTTTTGTGCTTTAATTTGGATGACATCTATTGCTGTGACTTTATGTTCACTAAACCTTTCTTCTACAATGTATAATATGGTGTTAATAAAATCCAGTGCATTTTTTCAGACATTGTGGTTTTCATCTCTAGAAAATTATTTTGGGAATGATTACATATTCCCTGTCTCAACTTTTCAAACATATTGAATACAGTTATACTGACTGTAAGCAGCATCTGCTTAAAGACACAAAACAAGTTAATGGCAACCTAGAAATAAACTTCATTTTCCTAGCTCTGCTTCCTTTGTCACAGTGCAAATCTACCAAAAGTCAACAGATGTTCCTGATTTATCTTATTCAAATAAGAGGTTTACAGTTTATAAGGACATCTTTCTTTGACAAAGAAAATTCCCCCAGACAAAAAGCACAAGCTCCCCACACTGTGAACGTGTCAGATAGTAATGGTATGAGTAACAAGATGAAAATAAGGCAGCTGATCTGAATACACCCTGGTCACATCTGGGGATGTGGGTGTAACCAATTCAGAAACCTAGGAGGATAATCCTGAATTAACATTGCTCATTGTGACTAGTGGCTGACGGTGATTTCAGAATAATATTGGGAAGTGGGTCCAGGGGGTAGGACTGGAAAACATAAAAATACTAATCTTATTGAACCAGATACATTGGAAGATGGTCCATTATGATATTTACTTTCAAATATAAAGTTAGTTCATAAAAAAGTCTTTTAACTACAAGCATGCTCAAAATGGAAATCATTCAAAGGATTGATTAGTTATGGATGCAAAACAAAAACTTAAAGAAGAGAGATTTAAAAAGCAAACTTGGCCTCACAATTTAATCCCCTAGTTTAGTTTTCATTGTTCGTCAGTGGTGCTGTTGTTGAAAGGAACCCTGGGAGCCTGAAGTAGTTCAGGAAGGGCAGGGCTAGGAAGTCCAGGGAGGGGAAAAAAGGTAGTTTCAGGATATGATCTGAATACAGTAGGCAGTGATTTTACAGGCAATTAAGATATCAAACAGAGGCAAGCCCTGCTGTTTCAACAGCTGGCAAAGCCAGGAAGCACTGAGAAGGAAATGGATCAGGGTGATGGCCAGAATTGAGCAAAGTAAAAAATTGTATAGATTTGAAGGTTTCCACAAGGCTTCAAAGGATTTGAGAGGAATACATAGGCCAAGAACCAGAAGGGTCAGTGGATAAAACACTATTGCTTCTCTACCACATATAAGAATGTCTTCTAATTTTGGTTGTGATGAAAAGTCGTGATGTTTGTGTCTATGTGTTTTCATTTGGAAGAAGCATGAGATCCCAATATCAAGGAAAGAGCAAACATGCTGAAAATGAAGTAACAATTTTGGCAGCAGAAACAGGGAGGCTGGAACTAATGGTTGAAGAATAGACAGATACATAGAGAAGGAGTGAACAAGAAGCTTGAGTCTGGAGGGGTAGAAAAGTGCCCCTGCCCTCTAACTCTACTACCTCAACCACCCTATTAGATTTCCTTAAGATCTAGTTCCTGGTATCAATCCTTTTGTTAAGAGGATTTGTTTCAAACTTAAATACAACTACAACCATCAGCCCCTTACCTATTGATGTAGGCTTGGTATAGTAAAAAGACCCAGAAAGAAAGTAGCACATTTTTTTTTAATATCTCCCATTTAGTTGTGTTTCTAAAAGACCTTGCCATTAACAACAAATTTCTATTTTTTTCAGTCAGTGTTTAATTTGTGTGGAGAGCAGAAATGTGTGTGCAAGGAGAGAACCTGGTTTATTTGTATCTTGATGCAATTATGGGGAACCATAAACCTTCTCAGTGCATGTGCAGTACAAATCTGGGGAGCACTGAGACCTCAAATTAACATCAATGTGGCTCTCTTCGATTTTTCTGTGATATTCCCTAAGCTAGTTTGTTCATGTTTTGTATGATTTTGTGATTTTTGTAGTCTAAGGACTTTTTTTTTTTTATGACACATGCAGATATTGGCTTCCACAAACCATCACCTTTCTGCTCACCATGCAATCAAATGACGTTCCAAAAAGACAGGGTCGGTATAGTCCCAGCAAAGTTTGGGAAATAATATTTTTAATTGGAAATACAGATTTGCTATTAAGAATTAACTTTTTCAGTGTTGGTTTAAAAATCAGCTGATATAGGCAAAACAGTATTGGACATCTAGACAACCTGAAATCAGACAGAGAATGAAGAACTCGCAAATAAACTCAAAAGTATACTAGATGATTGGACTATCTCAGCCACAATTAGTAAAGCCATGCAAAATAACAGCAGGCACACTGAAGTCAATGCGGGGAGTCTATGGGCATGAAGGTGGCCTCTATAACCAGACCTTCTGAGCTTTGCAATTCCAAACTCAAGTTCCGCCTTTCTGTACCTCTACAAGAAAAAGAAAATTATAACAAAAATATTTAAAACTTGTTTATCTTAGTTGAAGTTAAGTTTATAATTATCTTGTAATGTAAGTTCATGAATCACAAGATAATAAGGGAGAAAATGATTAAACTCCATGTTGTAGATTTAGGCCAGGCTGTTGGGGTAGTAAAGAGAAAGGTGTGTCAGTTAGGTCAACTTGTGACACATATATGAAGGGTAAGAAAGCCCTAATAATGAAATATTCCATACAATAATTAGCCTTTTGTTATTCTTTTTTTATTGTTTAAAGTATTGCATGTCTCTTTTTTTGCTTAGTTTTTCTCAGAAAAATGTACACACTGATAAATGTGTGTGTATATATGCACTGTTCACCTTCTTATACACCACACAAAAATAAACTCGAAATGGATTAAAGTCTTATATGTTAGACTCAAAGCCATAAAAATTCTAGAAGAAAACATAGGTAGTAAAATCTCAGACATTTCTCATAACAATATTTTTCTGATATATCTCCTTGGGCAAGGGGAAAAAAAATGAATAGGATTCCATTAAACTAGAGAGTTTTGGCACAGCAAAGGAAACAATGAAAAGACACCCCACTGAATGAGGAACACATTTGCCAGTGGTTTATAAAGAATTTATAGAACTCAATACCAAAAATACAAATGATCCAATTAAAAAATGGGCAAAGAACCTGAATAGATACTTCTCAAAAGATGACATAGAGATGGACACAAAACATATGAAAAGATACTCAACATCACTAGTCATCAGAGAAATGCAAACTAAAACCACAATGAGATATAACCTCACACCTCTCAGAATGGTATCATCCATAAACCAAAAAATACATGTTGGCAAAGATGTAGAGAAAGGGGAACCCTAATGAAGATTAGTGCAGCCACTGGGGAAAGCAGTATGAATTACCTCAAAAATTTTAAAAATGGAACTGCCTCATGATCCTGTGATTCCTTTTCTGGGAATTTAGTTGAAGAAACCCAAAACACAAATTTGAATGAATGTATATACCCTTGTGTTCCTTGCAGTATTATTTACAAATACCCAAGATCTGGAAACAGCTCAAGGTCCATCAGTAGGTGAATGGATAAAAAACTGCTATACATTTACACAATAGAATACTACTCTGCTGTAAAATGGAAGAAAAATTTACCCTTTGTGACAGTATGGATGGACCTGGAGAACATTATGCTAAGTGAAATAAGCCAGTCAGAGAAAGACAAGTACCATATGATTACACTCATATGTGGATCATAATGAACAAACTGAACTACCAAGCAAAGTAGAGACAAACTCATAGATAGAGAGCAGGCAGACAGCGGGGGGTGGGGTGTTGGGAGTGGTAGAGGGATTGAGAAAAAAAGATAGAAAACTCATGGACATGGACAACAGTGTGGTGATTGTGGGGTGGAGGTGGATAGGTGGAGGTAGTAGCGGGAATAAAGGGGATAACATGTGGTGGATCCCTGGCCTGTGTTTCTCAGTGGTTATAGTTTTGGCACATGTACCAATGGTTGCAGGTTGGATTCCCAGTCATGGGCACATACCTCAGTGGCAGGATCAATCCCAAACCCTGGTGGAGGTGCATGAGGATGACAACCAATTGATGTGTCTTTTTTACATCATTGTTTTGCTCTCTCTCCTTCTCTCTCTCTCTCTCTCTCTCTCTCTCTCTTTCTCTCTCTCTCTCTCTCATTCTCTCTCTTCCTTTCATTCTCTCTCTATAAAAAAAAAAAATCAATGGAAAAATATCATCCAGTGAAGATTAACAACGAAATAGTGATGGAAAAAAGAAAACAAATTAAAATAATAAATATGTAAATTCCTGAGCACTGGGCCATCTTTTACTACCTGTGATAGAAATAGTAAT